AGAATAGATTTTTCAAATTTGAAAATTACAGTATAGATGATTTAGTGTTGACCTAAAACATGATGCACTTTTCTAAAATATTATTCACAAAAAAAATTTGTAAGGATTCTAAATCATGATACCTATTGGTTTGGAAATATTGAATATGGGAACTACTCAAAACAGTTGCCTTATAGTTATCCGTATATGGTTTAACAGCAGTGATAAGTAATTAAAACCAAAGCGTGTTTAGGGATCTCCGTGGACACAATTTAGAGCCAATGTAAAAATAAGTGTACAGAGGATTTAGTGTAGACCTGTGATTTTGTTCTCCGGCTTCTGTGATTAATAAGTTTCAACCTTTGCGTCACACGCCACCACAATTTCCGAGCGTGCCATTATATTATGAAATAGAAAAGTAGATGTTAATTGTCTGAATAAAATTGTTGAAATGAAAGTCAATAATTGCAGTATAAAAACATACATTTCTTTAGACAAATAAATAGTAGGTGTATTTTTTTAAAAATTAATTGACTTCATAAAAATTTTTACTATCTGCAAATAGGTTGCCTAAATAAAAAGCTAGATAAATACAAACAAAATGTTATGTATTCCGAAATAGCTAACAAATTTTGAACACATGCTCTTCACAGGATCAAGTAAGATTGGAAAATCTAAGCACAGATCAATGGTGCAAAGGTGAAATAGATTTAGGAACTGCAGTATGCTAACTCATTCAAAACATATAGAAATCCCAAACAACCAGTTTACTCTTTAAAAAAAGTTAAAAAATTATCTTTGCAAACTTTTAGCAGAATCATTTAATTTTTATAATTGAGATTCAGCTCTAATTGTAACCAGATCAAATAAGAAAATCCAGGTAACCATTTGGGTGTGTGTTTCTTGGTTTAAAAGATGGAGACTTCAAGTTTGCCTTCCAAACGAGGATCATTTAAAGTCTCTTTTTTAAATAAATGTATTTGTATAATAAAACCTATACAAAATCATTACATATTGTTTCACAGATTGTTACAGAGAAAACAATCTATGTAATAAATAAAGATCATGATACATATTCAATTGGAAAGATTGAACATGGTGACTACTCAAAACAGTTGTCTGATAGGGATACGAATAAGGTTGTATCAGCAGTGATAAGTGATTAAAACCAAAGTAATTTATTTATCTTATTTGACATAGTTTCAACCAAATGTAAAAATAACAGTGTAGAGATAGTGTTGACCTGTAATTTAAAATGAAATAAGTTAGTTTAAAGAATTATAAATATGTAATTTATTTATCTTATTTGACATAGCATGCATACTGACTTTGAGCCCTTCTCTTTCAAATTGCATTGATTTATTTCAGTTTCTGTCCATTGAATACTTCTTTCTTTATCCATGTATATGCACTTCAAGCTGTTCTTCCTTCCATTCGTGTTTTATTTGGTTTGTTGTGGTGGTTTCTTTGGATCGTTGCGGTTTGTGTAGATGTAGCTAGCCTGTTATTCCAATCAATAAAAGATGTATGCAACATTGTATTGCTTTTTTGAAATGTCAAGGGTGTGAGGCGTACATGGAATAATTAAAGCGGGTAGTTGGAGAAGATAATTATGCGTTAGAATTTATTAACGTGTCCTTGTGAGTTGTGCCATTAAAGGTTGTTGTTCGAGAATTAAAAAGGAGTGTTGTGTAGGTGTGTGGCTAGATGTAATAAATTGTGTGGCTCGATGTAATAAATTTGGTGGGTGGCAGGTGAGGTCGAATTAATTAATGTCTTGTGTGTTTGGTTGTTTTGAAATTTAAAAGAGTAAAAGTGGGTGGACCGACTGTGTTGGGGTGGGTACACTTTGTACAACTGTGAGTTGGCAGAAACTTTTTACTGTTTTGCCAGTACTCTAGATTCTTCTTCATTGTTTTGGTTAAATTATAAGAGTATACTACCAAATAGAAAATTAATTATTTCAAAAGTTTAGTATAGTAGATGTATATCGATTTTTCACTAAGACAAAAGGAAAATTAAAATTTACGGAGTGAATGTGAAGAAATGAATGTTTTTAACAGAAATTTTAATCTATTACATAAATAATCCCTATTATTTACTACAATGTTATTAAAATTAGATTAGATAAATAATCCCTATTATTTACTACAATGTTATTAAAATTATATATTTAAAGTTAATAAACTTATTTAAAAAACCACACCTTCAGTAAAATGAATTGTAAAATTCGGTTGGCTAAATGGTATCAGTCTCTTATTATTAAAAACCTACTGGAATACCAAAAATTTGGTTGAATTATACTACGTAATATATAATTATTTATTTGAAAAGTTTTATATAGTAGAGGTATCTCGATTTTTCACAAAGCCAAAAAGGTAAATTTAAATTTAAAGAATATGGGCCCTGTATTGTGAAGAAACACATTTTTTCAATATAAATTTAATTTAAGAAACATACACCCTAATATTTACGACTATGTTATTAAAAATAGTCATTAAGATAAATAAACTAATTTAAGAAACCAGAACTGCAGTAAAATGAATTGGAAAATTCGGTAGGCTAAATGGTTTGCGTCTCTTACTATTAAAAACCTACTGGAATGCCAAAAATTTGGGGAAAATGTATTTTGCCTTAAAAAAATAGGGAAAATGATTTTTATAAAATAAATTTTGTGATATTTTGGTTGTACAGTTTACTTCGATTTAGATTAGTTGACAAAATAACATAATGTAAAAAGTAAATCCCGAATATGCTAAAACATTTTAAAAAATACGAACAAATGAAAGCCTTTTTTATTTAAACCTCGGATCCTCAAGATCTATACGTTATATATTTTTTACAGTTTGTCCTTTGATTGAATGGTCCTTTTTCCCACATATTAAGAAGATGACTGAATTTTATTCGATAGATCTACTAGAAATCTAGAGAACAGTGAAAAAAATGACAGATCTAATATTTAGCAGATTTGTATGGTTGTTTGTTATTTTCCGATGAAAAGTGTTCATTATCTTTGTCGGTTAAAAAAACGTAAGACAAGGATTCGTGGTGTGTTTGTGCATGCAATGGGTAGTGTGTTTGGTTTGGTGTTAGATGGAAAAACTCACCGAGAAATTATCACGTTCAAGGGTGTGAGATCCCTTTTTGTTCGTTGTTGCTGGAAGCAGTTTTGCAGTTTTGAAGGAAGCATCGTTGTGAATCCCTGCATCTGCGTATTTCGTTATACAGAGAGAGGCGGTCTTACTGTCGGCGTGAGAAGCGGAGGGTTTGGGAGGGTGACGTGGGTATTTCGTTTATATATTGTTGGGTCAGGCAGTTGTTGGGCTGCATTTACCTAGGCTGGCCCAACATAGTTTTTCAGGCTTGCAAAACGGGCTCCTGGAGAAAAATTAGGTTTAAAAATATCAAAAACTCTATTTGTACACACCCTTATACACACTTTTGTACACACCTATGTTTGTGAAACCTTTTTCTTTGTATGTGAACATCGATTCACAGACAATGTTTTGCACAAACATAATATTGTCTGTGAACTGGGTTCATAGACAAAAAAAAAAGATTTCACAAACATGGTGTGTATAAGGTGGGTGTGTACAAGGGTGTGTACATCAAGCATGGTTGTAAAAATATTAGATTCACTCATAATATTTAAATTAAAATGGAAGCTAGAATTAGTCACTTTGGGCTTGGGTTTGGTCCCTTCCGAGTCGAGTTTTTCTAAACCAGGAAATTTCCCGTTATTTCTAAGTGTCGGTTTACAAGTGTCCCGTTTTTTGTTTGTATTTTTGTTCTAAACAAAATAATATGAATTCTAGATAGACCAAAAATGTCCAAAAATAAGTGGTCTTTCATTTTAGTGAATGTGCTAAATTTGAGACCATTGGTAAATCTCGGTAATAAATAAATAATTTGAACAATTTTCAAACTCATCTACATTTGTTTTTTTTATTTTTCTGTATTTTTTTGTGATTCAATTTGTTTTTAGATGTTGAGATTTTATTTAAATTCATTCTGCATATACATTTTCTCTGCATTGTTATTTTTTCATATAATTTTGCATTCAATTTAATATCTAATTATTATTAGGTTTGCATTCAATTTACAGTGTTATTACTATTTTTAGTCCGTGATTTTGGTTTTCACGATAATTTAGATGTTTATGGACATGAACGGGATTGGCGCCATTCAACTATTGTTTGTTGTGATGGAAGGTTGGGACAAAATCAAAGCACACCTTATTTGGACAAGGGTCGTGGTAACATTGTTGCTACAGAAGTATACATTATATTTGTAGCCAACATTGTGTGGTATTGTCACAAATTGAATCGTGTTATTTATTTTCACAGAAGATTGCGAAAACCGAGCTCAGCTTGAGTCCCGGAGTACGGTGTCTTTTGCTTCAACGTCTTTTGATGCACGGGATACGACCTCTCTTTATGATAGTGACGTTGATGATGAGTACGTGGATTATGAGACTTTTCCTGCGCACACCCACAACAGGGCAATTGGTGCATGCTTATCGTTAATTGTTTCGATTATCCGACATCGTAAGTAAGTAATTATTGGTTATTATTCTTGGATAATATTGTTCTTCTTTTTTATTGTAGAGTTTTGGGACATTGGTGATGCAAATTATGTGTGCGGATTCTGTAATGCCCTTTTTTGGTTTGAGGAACGTGTTGTTTCCACGTCTTCTAAGAAGAATCCTAAGTATTCGTTGTGTTGCTTTCAAGGAAAGGTGGTTTTGCCTCTTATGAAAGAACCGCCTATGTTCCTATTTGAATTGATTCATGGTAATGATGAGCGTAGCAAACATTTCATCGAAAATATCAGATCATACAACAGTATGTTTTCGTACACCTCGATGGGCGGTAAAGTTGCACAAAATGTTAGCAAGGGAAAGTCTCCGCCAATTTTTAAATTGCATGGGCAGAATTATCACCTAATCGGGAGCCTGTTGCCTCCTACTGGGTCAAAGCCAAAGTTCGCACAATTGTATATCTATGATACGGAAAATGAGGTTCAAAATAGAGTTTCATTTGTTGGGTAAGTACGTTCTACATTTATTCAGTTTTCATCATATAATGGTTTTTTAAATCTAATTCTTCTTCATTTGTCGTAGCGATGATAGTAGGAGAACCAAGTTGCATGATGATATAGTGGCCGGGTTGTCTAAGATGCTCAACGAATATAACGTGTTAGTTCAATCTTTTCGTCTTGCTAAAGAGAAAATAGATACGAGTAATACCCCTGATGTCAGGCTAAAGTTAATTGGGAAACGCTATGGTGATGCGAGAACATATAATTTGCCATCTGTTTCTGAGGTCGCGGCATTGGTAGTTGGAGATTTTGACGAATCTTTGGGTGAGAGGGATATATTGGTTGAAACTCAATCTGGTGCACTCCAAAGGATAAATGAATTGAATCCGGCCTATTTTGGTTTGCAATATCCATTATTGTTCTCTTACGGAAAAGATGGATATCGTGAGGATACGTTGTTGTCTAAGGGTGGTAATATTGTTGGAGGAGGTAGACAAAGAGTGAGTGTGAGAGAGTTTCTTGCCTTTCGTGTTCAGGAAAGGTGTGATAACCACTCTTCAATGTTGAAGACTAAAAGGCTTTTTCAACAATTCATTGTTGACGGTTATACTTTGGTTGAGTCCGCGAGGTTGAGGTTTGTTAGGACACATCAAAAGCAGCTTCGTTGTGAAATGTATAAAGGTTTGACTGATGCTTTTTTATGTAGAGAGAGTGATTCCCGTACACAGGGTAAGAGGATTGTATTGCCTCTTACTTTTACTAGAGGAGCACGTTATATGATACAGAATTATCAGGATGCAATGGCCATCTGCAGGTGGGCAGGTTATCCAGATTTATTCATAACATTTACCTGCAATCCTAGGTGGGCAGAGATAGATCGTTTTCTCCACCAAAGGAATTTGAGAGCGGCAGATCGGCCGGATGTAATTAGTCGTGTTTTCAAGATCAAACTTGACGGGTTGATTAAAGATCTTCGCAAAAATAAAGCATTTGGGAATGTTAAAGGAGGTATTGCTTGTTCCGTATTCTTTATAACAATAACCTCATGTGGTTATTATTTGACTAGAATTTCGTGTTTTGCAGTTGTTTATACAATTGAATTTCAGAAACGCAGTTTGCCTCATGCACATATTTTGTTGTGGTTATCGAATGAAGATAAATTGCCCTCACCAACTGATATAGATAGGGTAATATCTGCTGAAATCCCAGATATAAATCTAGAACCGACGTATTACGCAGCGGTGAGGGATTTTATGATGCACGGACCTTGCGGTCGTGCAGTGAAGTCTGCGCCTTGCATGGTTGACAGTAAATGTACAAAGTACTTTCCCAAAAAATGGTGTGCAGACACGACCGTTGATGACGATGGTTATCCAGTGTATAGGCGTCGGAATAATGACCGCGTAATCTCAAAGAATAAGGCCGATTTGGATATTAGGTTTGTTGTTCCGCACAACCGTTATTTGTTGATGAAGTATGGAGCTCATATGAACGTAGAGTGGTGTAATCGGTCAATGTCCATCAAATATTTGTTTAAGTACATAAACAAAGGCCGTGATCGTGTGACGGCGGGATTTTACCAGGCAGTTGACGGTGATGCACAACAAAAACCGATTGATGAGATTCAAATGTACTATGACTGTAGATACATTTCTGCTTGCGAGGCTGCTTGGCGCATTTTTGGTTTTGAAATTCAGTATAAGACACCCGCAGTAGAACGGTTGAGCTTCCATTTGCCGGAGGAACAAAGTGTGGTCTTTTGCGATGACCAACCACTTCATTTAGTGGTTCGGGAATCTTCGGCTAAGGATAGTATGTTCACGGCGTGGATGGAGGCCAATAAAAAGTACCCGGAAGCAAGACTTTTGACGTATGCAGAATTTCCTCAGAAGTTTGTTTGAAAAAAAACAAGAGAGTGGGCTCCTAGGAAACAAGCATTCGCTATTGGTAGACTTTACTATGTTCATCCTGGTAGCGGTGAATCTTATTACATTAGGTGTCTTTTGAATCACATTCGTGGTGCAACGAGTCATGAGGATTTGAGGACATTAAATGGTGTCACTTATGAGTCTTTTCGTGATGCATGTTATGCGTTAGGATTGCTTGACGATGATAGAGAATTCATCGATGCTTTTAATGAGGCAAGTCAATTCTCATCTGCCTATTGTTTGAGGATTCTTTTTGTAATATTGTTATGGACAGACTCGATGTCTCGACCGGAGTATGTTTGGAAAAATTGTTGGCCCTTCATGGCTGATGACATACAATACATGCGAAGGCGAATATTGCAGCATCCAGGTGTGATTTACATCCATGTTTATTATTTCTATTTCTACCATGCTACAAATGTCAACTTTATTGGTGTTTTCTATTTCATGTTACGTGTTATCTTCCTTCTAACGTATTTGCATTTGTATGTGATTCTTATTGACAGAGCTAATTATGTCAGATGAACAATTGGAGAGGTTGTGTTCGGAAGAAATAGAGAGATTATTACATAGTCATGGAAAGAGTTTGCGCGATTACCCTCCAATGCCTACTGTAGCGCTTGATTCAATGCTTTCTTCTAATGACAGACTTATATATGAAGAATTGCGTTATGATATCTCCGCCATGAGTGAGGAAGATTAAACGTTGTTCAAATCTCTTACGGATGAGCAACTACGAGTATATGAGATGATAATGCGGTCCGTTGATGAAGATATTGGAGGTGTTATTTTTGTGTATGGATACGGTGGTTCTGGAAAGACATTTGTATGGAAGACTCTTTCTGCTGCCATTAGGTCTAAAGGTGAGATTGTTTTGAATGTTGCATCGAGTGGTATCGCATCTCTTCTCTTGCCAGGTGGACGTACGACTCACTCTCGATTTGCAATACCAATAAGTCTTAATGAAGATTCCACATGTAATATTAAACAGGGAAGTCCGTTGGTCAAGCTTATTGTACGATGTGAGTTGATAATATGGGACGAGGCCCCAATGTTACACAAGTTTTGTTTTGAGGCATTGGACCGCAGTATGAGGGACATAATGCAAATGCATAAACCGAATAGCGGGGCTCTTCCTTATGGTGGGAAAACGGTGGTATTTGGTGGGGATTTCTGCCAGGTGTTGCCGGTGATACCTCATGGAAGTAGACAAGATGTAGTCAACGCCACGATTAATTCATCATATTTGTGGTCGGAATGCACAGTTCTTCGTTTGACCAAAAATATGCGCCTGCAGAACATGACTAATCCTGTAGACTCTTACGATTTAAAGGGTTTTTCTAATTGGATTGCAAACATTGGTGACGGGGTCTTTGGTGAAAGTAATGATGGTCATGTTCAAATCACTATCCCTGAAGATCTTTTGATACGCACAAGGGGAGATCCTATAGTTGCAATTGTTGAAAACATATTTCCAGAATATGTTAAATCTGCAAGTGATATTAGTTGTTTGCGGGACCGTGCCATTTTGGCACCTACTCTCGCAGTGGTTGAAGCCGTTAATGAATATATGACAGATCTTAATGTTGGTGAAGTTTCAAGGACTTATCTAAGTTCTGACAGTGTTTCGTCGGTTGATTCGACGTCCGATCTAATGGCAGAACTTCACACACCGGAGTTCCTGAATAGTATTAAATTATCCGGTGTTCCGAATCATGAGTTAACGTTGAAAGTAGGGACCCCGGTGATGCTTTTGCGAAATATAGATTATTCAATGGGGTTGTGTAATGGGACTCGGCTTATTCTAACGAGGCTTGGTGATCATGTTTTGGAAGGTAAGATTTTAACTGGTGTAAATGCTGGACAAAAAGTATTAATCCCTAGATTGTCCTTGACCCCATCTGATCCCAACTTGCCTTGCAAATTCCAAAGGCGACAGTTTCCTGTGATGGCTTCATATGGTATGACAATAAATAAAAGTCAAGGTCAATCTTTGTCCCGTGTTGGGTTGTTGTTGAAAAAACCATTATTTACACACGGACAATTGTATGTTGCAGTTTCAAGGGTTACCAATCGTCGTGGTTTGAAAATCCTGATTGTTGATGAAAATGAAGGAACCACCGACAAAACTCAGAATGTTGTATTCAAAGAAGTGTTCAGCAATGTTTAGGTTTACATGGTTTGCATTTATACGGTGTTATGTTTTTTACGTAGTTGTTGGATGTTTTTTATCTTTCAATTAATGTGTTGTGCTATCTTTTTCAATGATAATATAATGAGTGTACGTGTTAGTTCATTGTTTGATCGACATTAATATTGAATGGACACAAATTAGAGGATTATCTATTTATATTGCAATTTGAAATAGTGAGCAAAAATAGATTTTGAAGAACAATTGTCAAACCGTGCATCGCACGGGTGAGTTTACTAGTTATATGAAGAATGAAAGAAATATGTAGTCCATTATTACCAAAAGGATACTCCCTTGGTCCCAATGTATTTGTCATTTTGAAAAGCACACACCTTGATTTGCGTTACAAAATGAAATTTTTATCCCTACAAAAGTTAAACATTAAATGCTTATTACAATAGTATATCCTTTTCAGGTCATATAGCATTAAATAAGAAAAAGTTAATCTGGGTAAATATGGGAGATAAATACATAATGTGCATTATAGTCTTAAACATCATTTGTTTTAGGAGTTTTTTTTGCTAAAACTACAAATAATATAGGACAAAAGTAAAATTTAGATTAAAAATGACTTTTTAATTCTATTTTGGGATAGAGGGATTTTTATACTACGTACTATTAACTGTCACCAAAGTTATATTATCCACATTATTTCTTATTGCCAATACATCTTTTGGCTACATATAGAGTATGGACTACAACACAAACCTGTTCATTGACAATTCACATAATGTCTACGCCTTTAGTTGATAGTTATTGTTCGGTAGCGTTGATTTTTCTGTAATCTGTGTATGCATCTGTGAATTTTTCATGGGCATGTATATTGGAGATAATGTTTCCAATACACAAATCTGGGCACTATTATATCTACTGCTTTTACACAAAAACCAACATTGTTGATGTGATTGACAACCGCGTGTTTCCAGACGGGGTGATCTTTGAGGACAAATATGGCGAAACTTTTTAGAAAATGGTAAAAATTCAGTACAACTTTTCTGGAAATAACAAATGTGTTGTAGGGAGAATTGGGTGTATAGTTTCATTATCAAAGGCCCTATAAATAGGGAGATATTAGAGTTTACATAGATGGGCCAATGGGCCCATATAATAGATAGTTTACATAGAATGATCCTAATACATATTCTATATACACGATAGCGCACTACACAGAATTTCCTTCAACACTCCCCCTTGTGCTGATTTGTAGATAGAATTTGGTATCAGTCTTATTGCCTCGTCAAAACTCTGTCAAGTAACAAAAACCCTGTGGGAAAAAATAATCTTGACTGGAGAAAAAGGAATATAACATAAAGATAGGCTTCTTTCATTAATTCTATCTTTATTTGATCTTTGCTTTGATCATTAAAGTTTATATGTATCGTTACCTCATTAAAAACCTTACCAAGTAACAAAACCCGGTGGGAAAAAATAAAACTTGGTTAAAGGAAAAGAGTGTAATGTAATCTAGTCGGGGTACTCCCCCTCAAGTCTACATCTACCCTTAATATTTACATTGATCAAGGGTGTTAGTAAAATATGTGCATTTCAATACTTGTCACATCAATTACCTTAGCGAAGGCACACAACAGAGGAATATAATTCCTTTAATTCTCCCCCTGTGTGTCAAGCGTAGGGAATTTTCCCAAATTAACTTGCAAAAACGTTGCCAATGAACAAAACCCAATGGGAAAAATAAACACCGGTCAAAGTGAAATGGGAGTATGGTGCACTAAAACCTACACGTCAATTACTTTTGACTGCGATATAGTAATTATGCTCTTTCTTCAACATTGTTTACTTTCGCAAAATTAAAATGTTGGATGGTGCATATTGTGTTGTCTCATAAAAAAACTTACCAAGTAACAAAACCCAACGGGAAAAAATAAACCTTGGTCAAAAGGGAGAAAAGAAAAAGAGTATAACGCACCAATATAACCGATGATAAATAAGTATGTAAGGACTCCCCCTGAATGCAACACATCAATAAGAATTCGATATGTACTTGATATATAGTTTTATCAAGGTATTCCTTATATAACATCTTGGTTTCTTTCATGGTAGATATATACTCATTTAAGAAAGTATCAATGAGGTAAGGGGATATCCATCATCGGTAAAATTCAAATCACGTTACTTGTGTTAGAGTGATACTTTTGACATTTCCGATTCCTTTAGAAATATTATTATCATCAATCATTTAATTAATTTATAAAAAGGATGACTAAAGATTACACCAATGGTTTGACATAGATATCAAAATACATTCTTGATATTATTTCAATGACGATATACGTTGTGTTGGTCCTGAGCTATTTTTAGCAAACACGTTATTGAGAATGTAATATTTGGTCGAATGTGTTTGTTAAAGTACAATCATGCGCATATTGCACTTTCATAGGAAATTCCTTCTCCCAATAATTTTCCAATAATGGATATATTTTCTAGCATCCATATTTCGACCGATCATGGGAGTGCTAACAGTTTACATTTATCCATGTTAATTTGCCTGAGAACCCTTTTGGATATATGCAACTGGTGAATTATTATTCAACCAACTTGGTGTTTTCAAAACAACCTGAGCTTCCCAAGATCCTTTATCTTAATTATGACTTCCAAGTATCTAAGATTTCTCATTTTCTTTAATATGAGTACATACTATGTCTATATCTTTGACATATAATGGTACTTGGAGGGAAAACATAATATATCTTTTTCTATCCCTTTTCAGTCAAGTGGTCACTTAGACGGGTATGTCACTCTCGTCTAGATTAATTTAATCCAAATGTGAACGTTTCAATGTAAATATACAATGTAATTTAAAACCACTTCATTAAAGATAATAAAAACATAAAAAATACTTCATATACATCTATTTAATGAAATTCTATTAGGACATTTAATGTCCACAATCTTTAGTTGCGTCTCCATTACTTTGGAGTCTACTTATAGATTAAGTAGTTGAACATTTTTGTGGTCAACATAGAGAGGTATAACTTTTCATATTTGAATCCAGGGCGTTGTTAGAATAATTAGGACCTCATTATCTCAGTACGCTTTCTAACAAAGAAATATTTCATGTCCTACAGGCTTTACACTTGGTTGATTAGCACTATCATACCAAATACCTGTCTCTTTGTCAAATATTAAATTTATACTTGGATTACTTGTACGCATTTAGGCCAATATTCTCATTGCTTTCATATTCCAATAGAGTATGGTTCGATATCATCGTGCTCTATGCTCCTTTGAACAACTGTATAAATATATCGTCAGTATAAGTGTAAGGTCTATCATTCGACTCATACACACTCTCATTAACATTGAGATTTTAATTCTCTGAAATCATTTAAACTTCGGGGCGCCCCCCATTATAAATTCATGGACATGTTTAATCAGAGATAATCTCATGAGAGGAATTCATATGATGACGAGTATATTGGTTTGTGCCTTATCTACCCTCTACTACTTGGGGTGGATAATTAATCGAACCATGTGACTTCCCTCTATTCCTTTAGAGAGCCACAACCTCAACCACAACCCCACTGCTTGTGATTGCAATGCTTCTTCCTTTAGCATTGTTTCTTTTAATTTAAATTCAAACTTATAAATATGTTTGCAGGTAGTGTGTATAATCTGATTACTTAAATCATTTATGATACCACTTTAACTTTAATGTTACATTTTGAAGTCTATGATTTATTATTGAGACAAAGTAGTGATATACCATCATAATGATTTTGTCATTCAATTAGAGAGTTCTTTCTCTAATCTCCCCCTAATGATAGGAAAATCAATTGTCTCATTAAAGTCATATCCCACAATGCGGTGTACACATTATTTGTTAATAAGGCTAGTAGCGGATTATTGTTGGGGATTCATATCCAACATAAACATCATTTTTCTTTTAAAACCGATTATAATGCGTTGTGGGAGACGCAATAGGCACAACTATTTAACAACCACATATTCATAAGTAGAACATCTCAGGCTAATATCCAGTCACCAACTGGTATACATAAACGTAGTTGTCTAGTATCGGTTTAAAAACAAATGTGCAGGAGTGCTTGCAATATTGCATAATCCCATGAAAATAATTATATATACACATGCGCATAGTAGATATAATATTCATCATCTATATTCTTTTAAATGTGAGTTTCATTGAGATCTTATTTTGCACATGGGATGCGAGATCTTTTCATTGATCTTGACATATATGCAATAATCATCAAGTATTTTTTATGAGAACTGTCTAGCCGTAACAAGTCATATAGATTTGATTGGTCGGGTGGTGGGCCTTAAATAAACAAGTTTTGCTAGAAGTTTTGCAAATGCAACATTTTTATGCAACAGGAAAATAGACAGCATGAGTAAATTTCTACCAAATCATAATCACTTAAATGGCCCGCATTTTGGTAGATGAGTCGTCACATATCACATTGTATTGAAAAAATGAGATATCTTTATTGTTATTTCCTTAGCATATGTGGACATGTCTCGATTCTATTTTTGCTAAGGAGTAAACTTTAAGAAATAACTGGCGCGCCTTCTACTATATCTGTAAGGCATAATGAAAGGTAAATATTTCTTCTCGTACTTTAGAAGATTGATATTAGTTTTCTATATATCAATGCTAAAACCAACAATTTACATTGTGTTGGATCTCATATCATCCTTTATTCGAATAATTAATAACCTAAATGAGTTATTTCAAAGTTTGTATGAGTCAATGACCACTTTGACTCATAACCTGCTTAAATATGCATTTTCTTTTGCATTTATTAGATGC